TTTCGCGCACGTTCTTGGGGCGCGGGCAGAACAAGGTCGTGAGCATCCCGCTGCGGCTGAAGGACGTGAGCGTGTGGGATGTTGGTAGCCAGGAGTGGGTCGTGCCAAAGGGGACGTTTACGGTACACGTTGGATCGTCGTCCAGGATTTTGCCGTTGACGGGGAGTTTTACAATATGAAAGGTTGTTGTAGTCGATGGAAATATGAGTGGCGGTATACATGTTCGGTGTCATTCAGGTTATACATACGCCCTTTCTCTGTGGGGTTTGGCTAAATCTCCAAGTCATTTTGTCCCGATATTGGACCGCGAGTAAGAATATTCGCGCAAAGAATTATTGTTCCAAACGGGGATGGAATAGTTATGGAACAAAGCCATTGACACGAGCCCAACGGTAATCGTTCAAGGAAACGGGCGCAAAGCCACGGACCCAACGATGATCGTTACCGGGGCACCAAGCTACGGGCCCAACGTTAATCGTTACTACGAGCGTGCAGATCGCGAACAGGGAATAGATTAAATCGGCAATATCTTGAGATGAGGCGGAGCGTTGGAGCTCACTCGAAGGCAGCGCGGAACCGAAGCCAAGTCCCCAACCAAGAAACAATCGAACTACGAAGGACCACGACCGCAGGATGCGTACGGTTCACCCCCTCCCAAATCCACAGCACCACCCTCCATGCGCACATCATCAAATTACAATACATCTATCCTACCTTAGCATCCACATACATATAGGATACAGTAAATCTCAGATAGTGCCCGCGCACGGTCCTACGAGTCCACCACCCGGCGGAGCGCAGAGCCCAGCGAGGAAAACCAGAGCGGAATTGAAGCGCAGCGAGAAAGAGCAGAAAGAATCTGAAGAGTAGACCGCTCACCCGCCCGCGAGGAACGCACAAACCGCCGCGCCGACCGCGTCCGCGTGTGTCCACGTCAGCGCGTGCCCCGCGCCCGGCACGAGGGCCAGCTCCACGCGCGCGGCGTCCTGTTTGGGCTGGGTTAGTTTTGTATTGGATTGGCTTCAGTGGGTACGGACGAAGGAAGGGAGAGGGGTTGGGAACGAGGGAAGGGGAATGGGAGCGATGAAAATGAAAGGGAAAGGAAAGAGCGGTACGCACGCTAGTAGAGTTGGCGAGGACCGTCTTGAGCTGCGATGAGTGCGCCGGGGGGACGGTTTGGTCCGCGGTGCCCTGCGAAGGGGTGGTCAGTGTTCGGCCGCAGGGGGAGGACGAGAGGGAAAGAGTCCGTAACTGAACGAATACGAGGGAAGCACTAACATGCACGACCAAAACCCTCCGCCCCTCCCATGCCCTGCTCTCAAACGCCCACCGCAAGCCCGTGACGGGCCCCGCGCGCAGCGACGACGACACGGCGCGGTTGAACCCGGGGAGGTGTGCGGACTGCAGGCGCACGAGCTCGTGCACGAGCGCGTCTTCTGTGGTGTGTATATGGTCGGGCTTGGAGGCGAGGCGCCGCAGGTACGCCTACGATAGTTAAATTACGGGGAGGAGATAAGGGGGAACGAGGTGGCGTACGTAGATTAGCGGGTTGGCCGTGAGTGCCTGGACGATTGGCGAGGACATGACTTTGGCCGTGCGCGAGAGGTCGGAGGACTAGACTTGACGTAAAACATGTGCCAAACGAGAGAATGGAAGCGCACCTCGACGAGCCCCGCAGAGGCCACCAGGACAACCTCGTTTTCCACCAGATCCGGGAAGGTTGCGACGAACGCGGCGGCAATGCCGCCGCCCATGCTGACGCCCATGAGGCGCGTGCGCGGCCAGCCGACGTGCTGGAGGAGCAGCGCGAGCTGCGTTACGTACAGCGAGGCGTCGTACGTCGCCGCTGCCGGCGCATCCGAGTACCCGCGTCCGTATAAGTCATACAGCAGCACACGGTGCCCGGCCTCCACCAGCTGCGGGACGAGTGGCGCCCACACGAGCGCGGGGACGGACAGGCCATGGATCAGGACAATCTGCGGGGATCAGCAACCGCTGCGATGCGTGCACGTACAAAGGGGGTGCACCTTCTTGCCGGACTCGGGACCAGCGAGCCAGTAGCCCGTCTATATATCGCGAGTGGCACTGCGTTGGTTTGGGACTTGTGCGAGAAAAGGAGGGACGCACGCGGCCCAGCGGAAACTCTGCATATCGCCCCTCCCCCGCCCAGTCTTCCGGGTAGATTTGGCGTGCGCGCGATTCTAGTGGGAGGCTTGCGAGGCCGGGGAAGACGGGGAGGGGGAGGCGCGGCGGGGGGGTGGGGAACGATGCGAGAAGGTAGAACGAGATGACTAGCGGAGGGACGAGTAGTAGGAGGTACGTCAGGCAGCGGGGGGCGCTGGGCGCCATCGTGGGCGTGGTCAACGCGTTTTCTCGTCTCGTGAGATCCGTTGCGGGTGCTATGCTCGGCAAAACGGCAAGGAGACCCGGTCACATGATCAAGGTCGGGTGTTGGGGTGGGTTATAGTAAAATAACCAGCGGTGCGGAATGCCCAAGGCTTTATCTCGCGGATACGAGCAGGAAATTAGTGCGACGGAAAGGCACGGCGAAGAAACAAGGAACAGAAGGTTGATGGGCTTCGAAGCCCGATCAAGATCCCCCTCAAAAACTCTCCCATACGCTATTGAGACGCAGGACGGAACAAGGGGTATTATAGGGACGACGATCTTCGAGGTTTAATCAAAATAGGATATTGTTCGTTTGTTATCCTTCCAGCCGTCGGTGTTGCTGCGATGGGAGGATACTTAAGGAAGAGCCGACGAGTATGATGGTCATTATGATCTCGCCGGAGTTTGCGTATTGTCGCGGCGCAAGGGCAGCCGTCATCCAGGGCCACCTGAGTAAATTCGGGGCTCTAGGGAGCCGCTGCCAAAGAGAAATCCGGAGAGGGTACCCCTCAGATAACAAGAAATAGTATGACCACGAGATCCGAGGCTTGGCATACACTGGACGACGCAAGCAGATGTGAAAAGTAGAAAGTGTCGCCAGAGTCGCAGCTGACGCCGTTGTATTCAGGATGCTAATCGGACGTGTTCTGACGTGTTTCACCGCCAGAGTGGTGGGGTTGGTGCATTTCATTAGGTAGGTGGATCCGGAAGTAGCCGCAGTTACGAGCGAATGTGGCATGAAAGTCGGCGGAGAGAGTTCCAGAGAAAGAAACAAGAGAGAGAGACGCAAGAAAGACGTCTTGTCACGATGTCAGTCACACCTGGCGTATCGGATCGACGGCCATCCTACTTTGGGACGTCGGAGATCGTCGGGAATCCGAACCCAGCGATTCAAATATTCGCAGAAGCGCAGAAGCGATGAAATGGGGCCCTTGGCCGCCGGAAACTGTAAGTCGAATTGCCGGATTGCGTACACAAACTAACGTTTAGGACGCTCCACATCAGCAAAACAGAAATTCTCTGGCACGCATGGCACCGTCTGGCTCCATCTGGCGGATATGGCCGGTATGGCTGCCATACAAGCCAGACGGCCCATAACACGCCTGTTTTTTTTTGGCTGGCATTTTCTCAACCAAATGGCATTTTGTATTGTTAATTCGGGTCCCTACAAATCAAAATGTTACCAAAGACCTGCTCAAGAATTGACGAAGATGCTCAAAGACACGAGAGGGCCCGGCCCGGCATCCTGGATTCCAGTGGCATCGAGCCGGCATTGTGTTACAGCCAAATTAATCAAAGGCTGCCAGGAAAGTGTGCGCAATATAATTTAACCGCTGAAGTCGCGGGTTCATCGAGGTTCGCATCATCGCATCAAAGGGTTCGTGCGCATCACGTGTTTCGGCTTGATGGTTGATATTGATGGGGTACTTCTCTCTTCCTCCCACCATCCTCTCTCCGAAAGACCTCTCGCAGTCTGTCATTTGACGCTTCCCTTTTCTCTTCCCCCACATCTGACGCCGGTAGTGGTCTTTCCTTACCTTCACCAGGCTGAAATTCTCCAAAACCTCAAACTTGAAGGCTTCTTCACCAAAATTGTCTTTCTGGCTCTTGGTTTGGTTCCTCTCCCCTTGCAACGTCTTTGGGCTTCAAGACCTCAAGCCTCAAGCTAATCCTTCAAGATCTCGAGCTTCAAGACCTGCCATCTCCCCATTCAAGATGGCGATCTTCAAGACCTGCCACTTCAAGACCCCATATAAAGACCTCGGTCCTTCAAGACCTCAAGCACTTCATGTACTGGCATCTGTACTAGCATCCCTCAACATCTGTCCGCGTGCTCGCCGGGTCGGCCATACCAGCATGCGGTCACGCGAGCGAAGGCTCGGAGGAGAGGGGCGGCGGCGGGAAAGGGAAAGGGACGGCGAGCTGGTAAGGTGTGTCTATTTCTTTGCCTTTTGCCTTGCCTTCCCCCCTTCCTGCGCTGTTCATATTTTCTGTCCCCCATATGGTCGCTGATATTCGTTCCATGGTGCAGATAATCACTTGGTCGAAGAACCGCGCGGTGCTCCTTTGTTCGTCAGGGACGGTAGCTGGCGGTTAGGTGCGTGTGCGGCTATCGTGTGCCCGCAGGGAGATTCGGGGCGCAGTCGGTGGGCTCGACATGCCACGCTCGAGTGGTCCGGCCGTGGGAGAGGGTTTCATTTCATGTATCAATTCCTTTCTATCGTGAATATATCTGTATTCTATAATTTATACTGCAGATTGTCTCTGAGGACCCGTTGCCACAATTGAGCTTCTGATGAACTTCTGGCGCCAGAACTGAATATGGCGTCGCGAAGGTTATTATGCTGCCAGATGCAATTCTGGCGGCATGGCGCGCTCGGCTGGTCTGGTGCCAGATCAGCCAGATGTGTTCTGTTTTGCTGATGCATTGTTTCCCCTCCCGTACATCGCATTACATTGGCTTTGCACAATTTGAATTTTGCACGTCTGGTCCGAAAGTGAGTAACATCTAACCCTTACACTGAATCCTCCCAAGTGAAATTAGACATCTCCGAGATGTGCACTCGCTCTCTTTCCGCTTAATCTGACAAAGAACCCTGCAACGGGTGGAAGCTCCTGTGGACGAATGGGATGTCGCTCATATACCCTCGCAGACCCAGGTCATTTGAAGCGAGAGGCGGAGGTTCGAATCCTCCTAGGGACGTGGGCCATGAAAGCGTCAAATGTGTGTTTTGTTACGTGAGGACGTGCCCGACCCGCCTCTAAGCCCTGCGCCAGGAGTATCAAGGATTCCAGCGAACTTCCTTCATAGTATTCCCAAACTCACCATATGCGCAGATTGGATTTCATTTATTTCCACCTCACCTGTCTCTAATGAGCGCTTTCTTTATTTTCCATGCATTTTCTACAAGAGCTTTGTACTTGGTGCCGTCCTTTAATTGGATGGGGCGACTGGCGTGCCGGGGAACAGTGAAAGTGATATTATAGTCATTGAGACTCTGGGTGGCAGGGTCGAGTACAGTATTTATTGCAACCAGGATTTGTGCCTTGAAGGTGTCCCACGGCTCGTTGCTGTTCAGTTTGAGGATATCCCCAGTGGGTGGACCGCGAGAAGATTTTGGTTTAGCCATCTGCTTACTGGTATATATCTACTGCTATCGTATAAGCTATCTCGCGTACGGGGGCGGTTTCTAGCTTCCGGAGCAGGTGAGATGGAATGCGGCTGTGATCGAACAGCTGAGGACGTACCCGGGGTTTTCTTGCCAGACTCACGCTTCCGTTTTGCGGCAACAGTAACGACTCGGAGCCACTCTGATCATCTTCCTCGCCATCAATAACATCTTCATCATCCTCCTTGTTCGTGTGCCAGGCAGGATTATGATATTTCTCTTCCTTGTCTGAGGTATTGTCGCGATCGGAGTGGACCAAGGTGAAATCCATGTCATCATCCGAGTCAAGGAGATCCTGCACACTAAGTGTGGAAATGGAGGCAGCGATGTGTCGGCATGAAGTACGAAGAGAGTGGGATGTCATAATGCCGAGTCCAAGAGGAATTATGGTCTAGGGGGGCTATCAGCTCACGAAAGTATAGTCAGGGAACTGTGACACACCTTGTATGGGGAAAGCTTAGGGAAACTGAAAAAGCAAGAGTGGAGAGGCAATCAATGTGGTCTAGCAAGGGCGTGAAATGTAGTGTTGCCGCGGTCCGGATCCGGTTCAGGTCCGGTTCAGAGGTAGATTTTTCGAACCTTGAACTGGACCCCGGGTCCGGTTCACTGAACCTACACCGCCACTGAGCCGGACCGCAGGTTCAGGTTCATCCGGTTCAGGTTCAGACCGGGTTTGGACCTTGAACCGATTTTTCGGGCCCCAATCGTGTAAATTGAGCAATACAGAGCCAAAAAGAGTATCTACGCAAGGGCCGAGGCCTCTCCAGTCTCCTCAGATTCATCTTCTTCATCAAATGCCTACAAAAATTTAATCATAAACACTCTAGGTTCCTCGAACACCTCAATATGACCATTGTGGTATGCACTGTTAAGGAGTTGTAGGGCTTCGAACATCTCGATGGAGAGCTTAGACAACATCCCTCAAATTATTTCACCGGTTGTGTTCAATGATTGACCTGGTCAAGGCCGTCGATATTGCCTTTCTGGACCGTCTCCACCTTGTCCAATTCAACTGCACCGATCTCACTTTTCTTTCATAATTGGTAGGATTTTATAGACTCCATAAGTCGCCATCTTGTCCAGAAGGCTGCCCGCGAGACCGCAATGCATGTTACATTTGTCAAGTTGGAAACTTCCCCCCATCCGTCTGCGGCACGGACCTGTCTTTTCTACATGTGATGGGTGTTGCCTACACCGCCGTTTGGAAAAAATATTGCTGAGATGTTTTTGGGTTGATGTCGTGAGGTGATCGTTTGAGCATCAAATGACGTTGCCGATAACGTTTAGAAAACAAAAAGTGTCAAATCCCTCAAGGCTTCGGTGACATGCTGTTGAAAAAACATTCACCTAGACATTTGGTCAAGGTTTGCCTGAGCATCCAAGGAACCAATGGACAGATATTCGGCTTTTTTATTGGATGTTCAAAACCTTATATTCGTAACGAATCGCACTGGCGCTATTCTAACGATACACTACGTTCCAGGTGCGCTCGTCCCGGTGGAGTGGGGGCGGGGATGCGGGCCTCGTGCCTCGCTTCGCGGCGTCGACGGTGGGTATCTGCGGAACCATTAGCCCAAGCGGGGAAGGGTAACTAACAGACTGCACCTGGATCGCACGCTGTATGTAGCGACGGCGCGCCCCAGCGTGGATGCCGGCGCACCGAGGAATATCCCCGAGCCAGTCAGCGTGGTCAAGCTCCGCTTGGCATCGTGGGGTGAGGTCTGGTACTCCCGGTTGTATTCCGCCATCGTACTCGCGCTGCGCTGGAAGTGCTGGTGCGGATGGTGTTGCTTGTGGTGGGGAGCTTGCTGTTGCTGCTGGTGATCGGGAGTGGGCGGTTGGTACGTCTCCGCGCGGGTAATGGTGGCGTACGGTGCGGCGGCGGCACCCATTGCGCGGTGGGCGGTTGAGGAGGGCGGCGCTCCCAGCACGGACACTGCGTTGGTAGTCGGGGCGCAGGTGCCACGCCGGCGCGGGCGCAAGCGTGGTGGAGGCGCCAAATCTTGCCGGGGAGAAGCAGGCCGTGGGGAGGAGGAGATGAGAGAGACAAGACAGGGTTGACGGCTAGCTCGTCTTGAGTCTGGCACTTGATCACGAACAATTTGATGTGTGCATTGAAAACTTGGTATATCTTCATCTTGCTGCAATAATCCTTGAGGGTAAGCCATTCAGGTGAATCCGTTGAGCAAGAGCGAAGGCTTCGAGGCTCGACGGTCACCCGGTGCCACAGTGCTTGACAGTGCTTGAAAGCTTCGCGGCAGATTGGACATATCAGACGCGGTGGATGCCAGATGATTGAGTAGCAAATGTGATGTGAGAGACTTGGGGCAGGGGCTTTGAAAACGGCGAGGACGAGGGATGGCAAGATGGGAGGAAAGGCGCAAAGACGACTGATGGGAATGCCAACATTGACACCTGTTTGTTGTTTGATGTGCTTCTGCGCACGGACCATTGATGCAATATTGATGAACGATAAACGGCGCGGGGCCATCTCGCGTTTCTACCACTATGTATGTAATGTGTGCTTGGACTGAGTTGTTGACTCACTGATTCCTCATAATAATTTCGAACTCATTGAGGCTTGGCTTCAAATTGGCCTCAGAGTTGTGGTGTGTCTCGATTCAGACTCGGGGAACTTTTTATGGTTCAGTACCGTACTACGCTCGTCATTCATAATAAATCAATAGATAACATGAGTTGGCTGGCAGAGCCACAATGTGCTGCAAATATCTCGCTCGAGGTATATTTCATGTTTGAACCACGCTACTTTAACCTTTCACTGAGGTTTCGCCAATGCTTTTCCCTGAATGTTTTGCAGACCTCAAAACGATGTTTTGAAAACATCTTCGAAAATACTGTGAGAATGTTGGGCACGATTGTTTGAGAAATATAAGTTTCAAATGGGGGTGTAGGTCAGATGACGGGGCTGACCTTTCAGACCTCATAGGCAACTCATAGGATTCAATATAAGACTCTAAAGGTGTATCTGGGGATTTGATTAATCACCACGTCGGTGGTGAGCGATGCGTCGCGATTAGGGCATCCCACGAGTGCACCCGCGGGTGATCCGGATCCGTGACCACGGGTACTCGCAGCTGAAAATGTCAAACTCAGATCCGTGCGAGTTTTGTTCCCACGGATGACTCAGATCCGTGGGTGTATTACCCGCGGGTCAAAACCTGCGGGTACCTGCGAGTATAGTGCATAAAAAGATGAGTCCTTTAAGGGTCAAACACAAGACCTGCCGGAAACAGGCTAACACATGAATTAACAGTCACAACCACCTGGGCCAAACCACTGATGATGGTTTGAGGCACACCCACGGGTATGTGAAGAACCAAAATACATACCCGGATCCGTGGGATACCCGTGGGAATGGGTACTCGGATCCGCGGGTATGCATAGTACCCACGAGTTTTCTCACGGATCTACCTGCATAGACCCGCGGGTAACTCGCACTCGTGGGATGCCCTAGTCGCGATGCATCAACACCGCTGATTAGTGATCCAACGTGATGAATAGGGTCGTTCACAGTAGCCCCTTTTCACTCCCTTTTTCCTTCCCTTTTTCTGTTCCTTTTTTCCAGACCAAAGCTTCCAGTGCAAACGGTCCATGAAAATAATATTAGGGTTGGATCAGACCTCGAACTGAGTGCCCAAAGTGTTCTTGGATGTCCTAGTCTTCTAGCTCTGCATGAAACACACAGTATTGAGAAAAGGAACGAAAAGAGGGAGCCAAAAAGGGCAGAAAAAGGGAGCTTCCGAGGGGGGGTTTCACAGTAGCCCTTTTTTCTTCCCTTTTTGGCTCCCTTTTTGCTGTGTTTTCGCCCCCTGCTGCCTTTGGATCCCCAATTTTTTCCCTTTTCAACCCTTTTTACATGTTTAAATTGAAAAGGGAAAAAAACCCCGGCCGAAAACGGACCAGTCTCAAGAAGCGCAGAAAAAGGGAAAGAAAAAGGGAGCAAAAAAGGGCTACTGTGAACGACCCTAATCACTGCACATTTGAGCACCGGTACCGTTCCCCACCCTTCCGCGTGCGTGCTGGACCGGCGCCCAGCCATCAAATAATGAGGATCATTTGCATCACCGCGCTCCCCGCTGCTGGTCATCGCTTATGCGGGGCGCGCTCGCGCTGCAGCGCGCTGCTCGCTTGCTCAATCGGGAACTTTATTTATATTTGTTACCTTTACACTCTCTTGCCTCCTCCCTCCCGCCCCGTTCCTGTTCCGGGCGTCCTTCCGCTCGCCGGTGCGGCTTACGCGGGACATGTATTTGCTTACTCTTAATGTTTAAAAGTCCGTCGTAGCTACCGCTCCCGTTAGGCACCGCCCCGTCGCGCCGGTCGCGTGCCCGCCACGCCGCGCGCCCCGCCCGCACGCCCGCTCGCGCGCTGCCCGCCTTGACCCCTGCCGCGCTATATGCACGCGTCATTCCCATCGACACCTACCGGTGTAGGCTGTACATGTGTCGATGCAGAGGTTTTCATCGCGCGCCACTTTCTCCGAATCCGGGGATTCCTCGCTCTCTGTACCCCT